AGACAGTAATGGGCTGGCCCAGGAGTGATGAAAGGCTGACTGGCAAGTGTATCTACCAGAGAATTCATCTTCAGAACATCTTTACTGAGACGGCACTTTCCAGTGGCCTCCTGTGTTCCTCACATATGTGGTTACACGAAGCAGGACATAGATATTGTGATTGAGTCAGTACATTGCTATTCAAAATCTCAGGTTTGTGCAATTTCCTGAAGCTCATTCTGAAAAACCAGACCAACCTGTGTGATGGTTCACTAAAATCAGCATACTATCTACACCAGGAAGTAGCTTCAACTTGGTTTATAGGTGGAATAGTCTAGTAATACTCACTCTCGCTATTGCTGTGCGTTTTTGGAGGAAACAGCTGGCACAGATTGCCGCAGCCATGGATGTGTGGTGTATGCTCTGCCTTCAGAAGTACGAGATACCATGCTCGACTTAATGAACTACTTCTCACTAAGGTGCTTGAGGATTTGCTCCCGATGGCTTGGAGCTATAGTGGAACCCTTCTTATGGTTAAATTGGAGCTGATCAAGTGAACCCTACTTTGATTGCTCGACGAGCCGCTACTGATCTTAACCTCATTCAAAGAAGTATATTCAAATGACCTCAACTTGAGGCCACTGCGGTAGCCAGCGCACCCAGGTCCCCATTTCAATGATCATTATTCGAACCGGTCCCCAGCTCCTGCAACTACAGTACCTGACCGCCTACGTATCCAAACGCGCCAAGTGGGATACCGATCAGCAACAGGCAACTGTAAAAAAGCGAAGCTTGGGACCATATCAAGGGAGAGACTTTGGTTTATGATGAGATGTATCATAACAGTCTTGCAAAAAACAACGACTTGATTACGATATGAAGCTCCATGGACGCCGCCTTCTTAGATTTCGACGGAAAAACCCCTCCAAAGATTGGAAACTGAAGAAATCGACTCCATTATTTGCCGTAAATTGATGTTAGTGTTGGAGATTGGGGCATGCAATCAGTGATTTTCGCATTGTACTTAGTGAAGACGAGTAAGCAGCGCACTCGAGAGCAAATTATAAACATTTCGTTCTCAAGGACCAATCAACCCCAACGAGCACTAAAGTGTACCCCCAGTATTCATGCAATTACTATTGGGATGGAACTCAAGTGCATAGCGCGATCCAAAACGAAGCATTTTGAATACCTTAGAGTATCAGCTCATAGAGCTCGACCAGCTGAGTTCAACGGTATATTCAGCACCTTGAATACTACTTTCTCAATCGACTTATTGAGAAAAGACGAAAAAGACGCGCGCTCGCGGTATTCAGTATTGAATTTGCGAATTTCACCTTGAGCACACTGAAGTCACAAAATCTTTATATTTTTTGAAAACTATCTATGCCCTGTGAGGGTTGCGCCAGCGGACTATGACTGACGTAAAACGAATTAGTTCGTATGTAAGACATCTAGGTCTGTTGCATCTTATTTCACGGTTCTGACTTATTCTGACCGTGACATGGAACGGACGTAGATTTCTCACATACGAACTAATTCGTTTTACGTCAGTGCGCCGGCGCGCCGGCCGGCCGGCCGGCGGACTATGAAAGCAGCCAAACAGCAACCTATAATGTGGGAATAATAGCTATTACTAGTCATTTCTCCGTTCGAAAAAAGTAGAACCAGTCTCTGGACTAGCGAGTTGTGCAACCTACGACAAGTCGTTGATATTATCGCATACTTTAGGAACTCTGATTCTGCGACTCTACGCGAGCATTATCAATCAAGTGCGAGGATCAGTTCAGGATTTTTCAAATCAATTAAACAAAGATATTGCATATTCACGCCACTACATTGTGAGCAAAACCCTTATAGATGGAAAAGGGTCCAGGCGGAACACTTCCAGAGACCATTCCCTTGCTGTACAACCTACGACTGCCCTTTGAGACTGTGTGAGGGGTATGAGTCAAAACATTCAGCATGCACTTTCACGAGAAGCTAATTCAAGCACATGCAGTTAGAATACAAAATAAGTGCCAGTCCTGTGAGTCCGCTACCCTAACAGTTCCGCAACAACGCACATACCTCACATTGCTCGATCTGCTGATCTTCTTTCTAGCATATGAGTTCAGAAGGTGGTCGAAGCAGAACTCGAAGACACCGCTGTTTTCTTTTTGCAAACCGTGCTCTGGTTGGAGGTTATCCTGGATATAGTGTCGTACAGCTTTTCATAAACATGGTGGGATGTCGAAACTGGCGAGTAATAGCTGAAGGGATAACTTTCTAGAGATTTTTCACTAGGACGAGCCTCTAGCTGCCAAGAATGCCACATGCCAAGAGTTTCAACACTTCAGATTTGGATTGTTGTTATGGCATGTTAGCGGTTTCTAAATTCTGTTGGTGTAAGGTCTGGGCTGCAAGGTAAGTGTGGCAGACTTCCCTAATGAAGTCGAGTATCTTCTGGTGAGCTCTCTTAAGTTGTACGTCCGAGCGCTGCCGTGCAGAAATCGGATCGTGCCATAATTCGGACCTCTCTCTGCTATTTCAGCGGGTAGTCTGTCCAGTTGGTGGCAGCACAGGTTTGCTGTAAGGATATCGTTGCGCGGCAGCGGATCGTCATAGATATTTCTCTTGCCATCCCACCTGACGCAGGCCATGACCTTCAGCGGGTGAAGACCTGTCTCCGGATACGGCTCCGGTTGCTCACTCTTGCTAACCCAATGACTTCCAATCTTCTGTGACAATAGGCCGCAGCCAGACATATGTGCGTCTGTACGAGAGCAGAGCAACTTGGTGGCGACGTCGGCACGTCGCTGACGATAAGCAAGTGATGGGGTACCCAGTGGGCCAGCCTATGCTCCTCACCCAATTGATGGAGGTAATCAGCGATGATGTCAAAGTGAGCGCGCAAGGCTTGCGCTAGCTCAAACGCATTTGGTATTTGGTCCGCCTCCATCAGCTGGCTCAGGCCATCATTGACGACTTTGGATTGGCAGATCCCGATCGTGCAGAATTTCGAATATTAATGTTTCATCCCCGAAAACGCTAGAAGTAATCCATTGCTAAACGTTCGCACACTGTACTCTCTGCAAATGTGGGGTTAATATGACTACTGGAGGAGGCTACTGAATCGCCAGATTTGAAGTTGTACAGCAGAAAGCACGAACGTACTCTTGTGAAATTTGTATCTCGCAGGAATGAGCCAAGCCAGTCTTTGGAAGTTCTACTGCCGGTACACCAGCACTTTTTTGTTCGTCTGACATCTGTGCAAGTCAAGTTGCGGTCGCACATTGGAGAAGGGTGCATTTGAAGAAATCCCGAAGACCTTTTCAACAACCTAATAATACTTTTGATACATTATATTCCGCTATTTCGGAGTTTTCTTTGCTTTCTTCACCATCCATGTACTATTCTGCACCGACACATCCATTCCTGGCTTGAAAAGTATATCTTAGAGTTATCGTGAGCTGTGCATCAACGATAGTAGAGAGGCAGGAAGAGATTCGAGAACAAACGTACATATATGACCTCCTTCAATACCTCGCAAGGTGCAGTAACTGTTTACCCAAGACGACAAATGGAAGCTATCTTAGCCTTGCTGTTGACAGAGCTCCAATCGGTATTGTTAATGCTCTTCCTTTTTTCTGCAGTTTCGACCAGATCTGCTGCCCTTTCTTCAGAATACTCCATTATCACTTCCCTGCATAGTTCTATATCTTCTCAACCTATATCTTCGCATCTTTAAACCTGGCATATCGGTTTGAGATTCTCCGATGCGAGGAAATCCTTATGGCTCTCAAACTCTTCACTTTCCTAATGTTAATGTGAAGATGCCGGGCGTGCCAGATGTACTCCTTGTCGGCATTGCCAGTAACGGAACTCTCTCATGTACCTCCTCTGATGGCTTCGCAGTGATACCAATTGATGAGCCGTACATCGTATGATGAGGAATATTCCGTAAGAATCACTGCGAAGGCGCAAAATCTTCTCTCTTTGCTCAGCAAATTCTTTGAAGCACAACGAGTAGAAAATTTGGTCTTCACGCAGTCATTCTGCATACTCCCACCGAGCAGAGTGGTTGACAAGCTGGTTAACCAGCAGAGCGATGATACGATAAGAATTCTAAGTTACCCCCTCTTGCCCTCAGCCCAAAATTAGCTTATTCTGAAGGGATTTCGAAAATCTCTGCGGCACACACACAACAAATAGATAAATTAGCTTTGCTCATAACAGGCATGAATCCAACAATTCCTGATCCCATTTCCCTGAATTACAGCACTGAACCAGTTGGGCAAGACCAGACTATGTGTGAAGAACATGGGACGCTTGACCATTCCCCTGCCCACCAGTGCTGTATCAAGCTACTTGTGAAGCCCCATGAATTCATTGTGATCGTCTAAAAACGCAGCTGAAAAACTAGCTCCTCCAAAATAAAGAACCGAAAGAAATCTCCAATGACTTCGGAAACCGTAACGTTTAAAATCGTTTGAACAACCAGCGCCTGCGGCAATAACTTTATTACTTCAATTCTTTTATCGTGTTCTATGTGCGTGTCTTAAAATGTACAGTGACGTAGTAACAACAATATAACAAATGTGTACGTTGCGCACGAAGCTCCTTTGTGAAAAACAACATACCAACAAAAAAAAAAGCAGTAGGGAAGACGGCTTCAGCTTACGAGGGAAAAAATAAGGCGATAAATAAGAAATCACGTGCGATATTATGTCATAGGCCCAATTAACGTCGTAACAAATACATACATAAAAATATGAAGAAAAAAAAACAGAAGGATATACACTAAAAACTACGACATGCGTACGTCGTCTGTTAATCATTGCCTAGTTGATAGACTAAGACACTCGTCCTGGCTGCGAATGATGTGTGCATACATGAATTTGGAGCGAAGAAGGACGAGGTGTCATCGTCGATAAAGCCGAGTTTATGGAAGGCTGATGGCTCCCAAAGACCATCAGCGGTCGATCACCGTAATCGCACAAAGTGGAATCGGTCACTAAGCTAATGCTAGCAGTTGCAGGTTACGATGGCGTGCTGCCGTTGAACTTCTCCAACGTTTGTTGGATTTCCTCTGGCGTAGCAGGTGGCAACCGACCGTCGCGAGGCTTGCGGTTAGGGTTACCGACTCGCTTTGCGATGAATCGCAAGACCTGAATGCCCAAATTTATCACGAAACTTTGACTAGGAACAGTTTAATTCACACTAGACATTGAAGTAGTGGGAGATAACTTCATCGTTTTCGGAAATGAAATCATTTTTGTTCCTAACTGAATGAGTGGCCCATATTCTACAATACATAAGGACGGAATTAGAGCTAAATCTACGTTTTGAAACAAAATTCCAGAAAATGCTTGATCTGTTTCCTGGGTTTTCAAACTGTCGTGCCCGGGTAACTCAAATACGCTTGGAACCATACAATGCGAGGATATACTTCTGAGATCAGGTAATGCGTCTGAAATGGAATTTACTTGCCCGGTATACCTACCACTTGATGGACCTACTCTAAAATCAATTTGAGACCGAGACAGATCACTACACATCCGGAAACGCTTTGGTTCAATGAATCAGGCGACTGAATGTTTCGATTTCATAAAAACAAAAGGAAGCTATTTTCGGGCAGCTTAACTCCAGTAACCAAAAATACGCCTTGATTAGGTGCTCAGAAGCTATAAGTAGAAGACGCAGTTTGAAAACTAGAGTACAAGCTGAATAAAAGTGTATAACTTATTCAACCCATGCCATTTTCTTGCACAACTTGTGAAGCTCCCTAGCATATCTAGCTTTCTCAAAAAACTGCGCAAAATCATTGTAGAGGCTAACTAAACAGTACCATTCTTCTTTTCTTCTCTATGTAACGCAATCAAATAGCTTCAGTGTGTAATGTGCGCCCATGTAATCCCTTTAAACAGTTATTACTCAATTATCAACACATGTTATCGATGTCCTAAAGACAGCTTTGGAAAAAAATATCTTCGAAAACAGTAGAAGTGGCAATTTGGCAGCAAGCGAAATTGCAAGGCAGAGAGGAGGGAGGTGATGCACCAGGAGCGATAAAATCAAGAGTATTAGTCTTGAACGATGGGAATAAATCTTAAGATTTGGCCGTGGCTCCAGAAAGTTTCCGTATGCCAGGGTCATACCACATCCAACAAGCCTGCTATTTTCCCCTGATTGCACTACCCTGACTAATACATTTTCAATTACATCAATTTTTCCATGGTCAACTGCAACCCTCTACTGCCGCGTTCATTTTGAGAAGGGACAAATAAAGTAGCGTAATTGACTATAACTTGTTGAACGATAGCGTTGACCGAAAGCAAGCACTTTGGGAAACTCCCAAAAGACTATTTTCTCGATAGACAACCTTTAAGATAGCCTCTACAACGATTTCGGGAGACATTCATATGTATCTCATCAATTCAGATATCCCATTCTTTGTGATTTTATTTCGAGTACAACATGGAACAGAATAATCGCAAAAAGCAATTGGCGACATTCAGCTGCGAGAGTGAAGTAAAAACGCTCATAAGTAAGCAGATTGAATTTAATCTACCAGATCCAATTCATTGATTAGCGATACTGATAGGTTGACTTTCTGCAATTATCGAAGATAGAAAAGTGCATAAGGTATGCGCCATGCATGTTTATGGACCGAGACTATTTTACTGCCTTCGTAGGTACAAAGTATCTTTGGTTATGCATGAACTAACCCATCATAGACAAACAAGCAGATCAAAAGTTGGCCAGCATTATATTGTTACCGAGATGAAAACAAAAAAAGGAAGTCATACTAAGTATAGTAAATGCTATGCTAAGATACCCACCTGCTTTCGGCTCAGGTCGCACTTCACTTCGATGTCTCGGAGTTCTTCTTCAGTTGGATAGTGGCCTTCCTTGATGATGTCTTTAATATACTCTCGTTGCCAGCCTTTCATTCTCGTCTGGAAGCCTTCCTGAAACTAATGGTCGACGTTCTATCGGAATGTCAAAGTGCACCAAGTGAAGATAACGAAAAAATACGCGAATATACGCACCAGCTGCTTATAGGGAGGAATCCGTGAATGATTCGAGACGAATTGACGTGCTTTAAGCTCGGGCGTTGAGTTCCATTCGGAACCAACGCCTGGCATTTTATGCTGTAACTATAAAAATCATTTTCTATGCACTAAACGATGGAGGAATTCATTTCACACAGTAACACTTTTAGGCAGTACTCCGGTGAGGACGCTGATAAAAAACAGAGACAGACTCAGGTTGTATGGAAAGAACTGCCGGAAATTCCTCAACAATGCGGCTTTACCAGAATTTAACAACAGATACTCAACGTACAACCTATTACTTTTATACCAAATGCACAGACCAAATTGAAAGGATAAAGGATAAAGTTTTGGCGTTAAGCAATCCCTTCTGAGGAATGCGCCCCCGCACTCGACTTCCATTCAGAATCGTAGTGGCGTGATGAATACGTGTGTGGCCTATACAATGAAATGCGGTGGCCAGCCGATGTACAAGTCAGTGCTTTCATCCTCCCAGATGAGTAAGGTACCAATTAATCGACCCCGGAGAAATGGAAGGCTTGGTTGGCCTACGCGGGTATCTATCCGGGATCCGAAACCCTGACCACTTGTCACTACACCACATCCGCCCACAGACCAAATTAGATTCAATAATTATTTTGCGTAGACTATATATAAAACCAAATTTTACCCATTTCAGATCGATCAGGGTCCTTTTCGGAATATACGACTCAATGCGCTACCTAAGAAGAACACCCTGAGGGTCCTGCTTACAAAAAATAAAGAGGAACTTTAGCAAGATATGCACAACGGCATGTTTGTGGAGATGACTCAACTGCGCAGTAAAATAAGACTTATTTCTCTGAATTTCAAATACATCGCTTTATAATGTGTGGCTGTTCGAGCGAGAGCAAGGTGACAGAGATTACATCAGAATAAGCCGCTTCTCAAGCTTGATAGGGCTCACGTGAGCCATTTCTCAACCTTGATAGGGCTCGTGCGACGTAATCCGCTTAACTGAGACCTTGCCGGCCAGAATGCTAAATCTATCTATTGAAAAAATCTATCTATCACTATTGAGCTATCCTTAGCGAAATTGTGAAGAACTCTTCACTTCTATGTTGTTTCTATGTTGCCTCAAACATTCCTTTCAAAAATATCCTTTAAAAAATTCATTGACACAAAAAAGAGGGAAACCAACCGTGGCAAACAGCCCACTGACGAGATCCAGCGCTGCGGAACCTTGCGGAAAAGAGCCAATATTCAGATCACCGGCATCCTTAAAGAAAATGATCATTCACCTGCATGTATTTCTTCTACGACTGTAGACATTCGTTTTTATTTCAATACTTATTTTAACCTCTTAAAAATTATAAATAACAAAAATAAATCATGGTCAAAACAACCCACTAAACTACAACAAGAACTGCCAGACTATTTTTGCAATCGTCACCACACATGAAACGCTAACACCTGTCAATTGTTCCGCCAAGAGATTCAGTATCAACAGAAGAAGCATCTGGAGAAAGTTTGAAAGGACTTGGCAGGTGGTAGGGTAAAGCCATGTGAGCTCATGTGAGTTCAGCGAAGTTTCCTCACGAGGGCGGAGGCGTGTGCACCGGAAAGGTGGGTGCGAACGGTATACCTTTAATGTAGTCTCCGAATAGCCCAGAAACCGGAAAAAGTGAGCAGAGATGAGGAACGGGCCAAAAATGAACGGTGCCCATTCGGAGTGGGTGGAGAGTCTCTACAATGGGCGGTATTTTCTTCATGAATCCAGAAAGCCATCCCACCAGAGACTTTAGGTCAGACCCCGGGAGGGCAGAGTTAGGTCAGGACACAAACTTATAGCTCTGTTCAAAAAGTTCCTTGTTGGGATACAGTCGTTAGCATGCGCAGGCCTACTGCTACATTTATACAGCGCTCTATCTGTCTGCCACTAAATTCTGCATAGTCTTAAGAAGCACCTGGAGAGGCTAGAGGTCAAGTCTGAAGGCACATACGGACTCATCTAAACTCCAGTCACGTCAAAGAACAGCGGCCGGGTCTGTAGCAAAACACTTCCTAACGCGGCTCAGAAGACACCGTAAAAAGGAAAAGACGAGCAATGAATTGATGAACTAAATAAGAGAGACCCATCCACGGTGGGCGAATCGTTCCTCAAATAGAAGGGACTTACTAAGCAGATGCGTAACTTGCTATCAAGAACTATGAAGATGTAAGTAGGCTATAACAGCTATGACGGCCAGAAAAGATAGTAGAAATCAACATGGTCTGATGTATGCCAATCATTCTGAACGAGCAGAGCTCCGCCTTTGATAGGCAAAGCGTATTTTTATGGTAAATTGCCGGCATTGTGCTCTTCACGAAGGTCCAGTGTCTCTCTCAAAAGAAAGTTTTGGAGTTTGAACCACAAAAGAAGCACGGATCAAACGTCCATAATAAAAGGAACGTTCGTCGAGGTGGATGAGGTTGATCATGACTTCACACTTCTCCCAGGAACATTTTAGGGACAAAAATGGGTAGAATCTGGCAGGAAAAGAGTTCTCTGCGATAGCTTAAAGGTGGGTGGAGCTTAGCTTACAAAAAAACTGCACCTCTGCTCAAAAACATCACAGATTTCTGGGAAAAACTAGATGCGAACTGGGAAAAAAGAAGAAAAGTATAAATTCAGCGGTAGTTGGAGTGCGCATCTAGATGTATGGAGGATTAGTTGGAAATTCGCAAATACATTTATGATACTTCAGAACCCCTCCGAGAGGTCGACAAAATTAGCACAGAAACTGATGTCAAAATCTCCCATGTGGCATGGACGTGCACTAAAGTATGAGATTCACAAGTAATCGAAAACCCTTCATATGGATTCCAAACAGTTCGACTGCTGAAGGGAACAGTAGAGGTCAAACGTCGGCGACAGTTCCCGGCAGATGGGGTTCCTTGATAACCTAGCCGCCTATATAATAGTTAATGGAATAATGATTAGACAAAAATAGCTGAAGGAAAGCAGAAACTTTGAGAAAGAACGGCTTTGTAAATGAGGCTTTTCGTCAACGGAGATGGACTCTTCCTCGGGAACTCGGTGACCCAGGCTACATATTAAGATTTGTCACAAAAAGGTGCAAGATGAGCCAAAGTCAGCCATATCTAAAGGTGGAGATCGAAAGTTCAAGTTTTTGATGAAGCGAAAATGGCCACATAATTTCAAACCTCACAAGGGTCATTTCACTGAGAAGTGACCAAAATCATAAATTCGCACTGGTTAACGTGCAGTAGCCCAACTGGTTCGTCATTTTTCGGACACGCTCCCTTTTTTGAGACCGTCTTCTACTTAAAACGAAGGAAAGCTCTGTCAAGAGGTCGAGCGACTCATCCTGCTCGATGCTCGTTCAAAGTTTTTACAATCAGCCCGATTATGATATCATGCGAGAACTTTGTAAAGGTCCTATTCTGTTAGCTGTTTTTCATAGGGGCCGATACCTGTGGGACAACTACGGTGTGCGCAAAAGCATATCGGGAACGATAACCTCAATTGCGGAGCTGTTTTTTCTCGAAACCGCTGAGAAACCCCCAGGGATGGAGACTTGACGTTCTTCGGAACCAACTTTTACCTTGAAACGAATTTGAAACGACTGTGAACCAATCGAAAAAAGATTACATATAGCAGGCGAATGTTTGCATAATGTGCATAAATGATGATAATGCGTGGTAATATATCGGCATTAATGATCGCGAAGGAGTGCAGGCATTTGGGAAGGATGTTAGATTAATGGGTGTTCGCCCACAAATACTGGCACCATCAACTTTTTGAGACGTTTAATGATAGGAACCAACTGATTCACCTCAACCTCCTCGTCGTTGTTTTGTTCATCATTCTCGACTTTTGGGATAGCTATCAAACTGAAGGCAGGGGGACAGTTTGACAACCTCTTCGAACCGTTGCCATTCGTGAGCTCCTCTCCAGGGGAAACAGGTGTAGCCGACACCGAACAATGATCTTCAGAGTCAGCCACCTAAAATAACAAAGATTTAAAAATTAAAGTTCAAAATAGCTTAAATAGTCGTCAAGAGAAATCAAAAATGATATTCAGTCCTCGAGCCTCACACGGTTCCCCAGAAGTAGGCTTACTCAATGAAAGACGGACTACACACACAATACTGGCGAAAATGATAAGCAGAAAGGTTTCGGTACTAATTTAAGTACTAATAATCTGTCAAATGGATGTACTGGTTTTACTCATTATAAGCTCACTCGACACTGTCAATAGTGTTCGGGTGCTCAGATCACTATGGAGAAAGTCCTTCCACGTTTTTTTTTCAGGTGGATATTAATAGGAGTTTTAGCTCCTCCACAGATTACGCTCTACACAACGGAGAACCACTTTTTTAGTGAAGTTTCCGCATGCAAGCGATATTGAGAACAGGAAGGCCATCATTACTGTGATCCGATTACGCTTTTTTGCAAGACTAACAATTCTAAAAAACAGTGTTGAAAGGAAGAAAATTTCAGTATATGCTTAAAGTCGCGTGTTGACTTCGAAGAAAAACGTAAACACGAAGAAGAATCCGAAAAAAACATCAAAAAATCTGCACGGATAAGCGATCAAACTGGTAGTGCACCATGTAGATTTCGGATGCTTGGATAATCGAAACATGCTGATGAAATGTGGTGGAGTATACATAAAGAAATGAAGAAATAAGTGAAAGTAAACATATTTCTCTGTCTCTTTTTCACAAAATAATTACTCTCTTGAAATGAGACATACAGCTTTTGAACTCAGAGAAAATAGAGAGGTCATCCAATCAATACCAATCAATGTCGATTTGTTATGCGATTGAAAGTAAATCAATGCCGCAGTACCGATCAAGATCGGTTCGTTATGTTATTGAAAAAAATTGCATGGCACTAGGCCCTCTTCGGTAATTTAGAGTTGAAAATTCCAGCGAGTGGAAGAAGGGAAGTAAGAAATTCTGCTACAATGACAGGTATGGACATATATTGAGTGATATCCATCTAATCCATCAGTGGATAACGATCAATATCTATCCTTATCGTTCAATATCCTCAGCGAAAAATCCACAGTTTAGTTCAATCCAAACGTGAATCGTTCAAACTTTAAAAAAATAGAGAAAGAAGTGACAGGAAGTTTGCTATCTTCATCCATATCAAAGCGGATGTGTATTACTATGAATGTGGCAAAGTTCGCGTGGACTGACCGATTAGAGAGCTGAGTTTTCATAAGTAACAAGTTTAACATGAAACTTTTTCAGATATTTGCACCCCTCTGGCGATCTCGGCCTACTTTTAGTCCACATCAATAGAGAATTCTCAGAAACTGCTAAACTAAGAAAGTCGAATTAGCTGTTTCTCGAGAGCACTACTACTGCTACAGAATCTTCACAACTTGAACTACGTGAGAGGGCCTCGGCCTGTAGCGCTTTTTGTACGAAATGCACGAAACTTTTGACCACTTAATGAAAGTCGGATGTTTACTACCGAATTGGTTAACTTGGTAAACGCTGCACGCGAAAAAGAATCTATGATTTATGAAGGTACATTGGTATGCTAGAGAGGAGCAGACAATAGCTACGCTGAAATCATATTTTTTGAGACGGAAGTAAACCCTAAAGTCGAGTTCGTTGCCTCAAAGTCATTTCTTTATAGGCAGGATGATAAGTACCTGTTCATATCGAAGCCGTAAATTTCATAGATTTCAAGGCGTGAAACGAAAGGCATGAATACTACGACATGAAGACCCAATGGAGCGGTGAAGGGGCACATTCATTTCACAGAAAGACCTGTATGAAGCAACTACGGAAAAAATGAAGAGATTGTGAAGTTTCGCGGCAATGAAAAAATAGGAAGAGTTGCTAATTACTCCGATTGAAGAATGCTTTCGCTTTTGTATTCGCTAACAATACTAGGGAATCCTGACAAGGAGTAGTCCCCACGCGAAATCGTCTTTGCTAGATACTAGGAGGAGGTTGAGCGCCTCAAATCGAGTGGGTTGAAGGACCTCGAACCATTCCCACGAGAAAAGTTCGAGAGACTGGTTAAGTCCGTTTTTGGTTCGGATCCTGGCAATTTCTCCTTAATCCAAGTGAGGTCATTACAGAGACACATTGTTCGGGAAGAGGTTCAGAAACATTTTTCTCGATTTCAGAGAAGCTTCATAAAATGCTCTCGGTATGCAGCTGACTGCAGTTACACCTGGCATTTGATGTTACGCCTGAGTTATGGAAATGTGTAAATCTACAAATGTTATTAGTGGAAGAGGATTTAAATAAGTTTCTGGAATACTTAAGCGTTGGCTGTTTCCTTCAGCAACAACAGAAAACGCATCGAGAAATAAAAAAAATAGAATGGAAAGTGTAAAGGTAGACCTAAAGACGCTATTTTAGTCGTTGCAGAAAATGAAAAATACCCTCAGCGAAAGGAACCGTTCGACACTTTTTTTACGATTTCCCATCCTCGTTCCATCTTGCACACTCGTCTTCATCTCATTCTCACGTTCATTAGTGGGAGAAAACACATTTGGGTGAGCTCTTTGCTTCACAAATCTACAAATCGTACTAGGGGTCCAAATAACGGATAATAAACATAATAGAGTTGCGTAAATACCATGCGAATATTGGGACAGGAGCGCTTGCCCAGCAAACAAGGTTACGTTCATATTGACAGTTAGAATGAACCATTTCAACGATTGCCGAGTCAAGTCGAAGTGCACTTCCCGACTTTTTCATGTCTATCCTTTATTTAAGGAACGGGCAGAGAGGACGGAAAAAATCAACGAAGAAAAATGAAGTCATGTTTCTATTCAAATTTAACTACTGTATGCAATATTTCGGTCATAATCGAAGATCCCAGTAGTCCCTTATCGCGTGCAGAGACGGAAAAAACTGAGAATACAGCAACACAACTATAGCATGACTTACACGGTCATCGCTTCGCATGCTGGTGGAAGCGCCAGCGTCATCGTTCGGATCCGGTCGGGCGATAGCCTGATTTAAATTACTCACAAACGACACGTCCGAATACCCATTTGAAGCCTGAAAACGTCAGAAATTTTAAATTCCGAGGTATCGAGAATCTGTGACCAAATGGTGCCTCATATCTCATACTGCCACCGTCATAACACAGCATCTCAGTACCCGGGCTGATTGTAGTTATCAGTTGAGAGCGAATGGAGGCTTGGTAATGTAGACATCTTGCGCTGTTCTAATACACCCAATTACCTGAGGTTACCTAATGGGCGATTCAACCGCGGTCTCAGACGTATTGGATACCCTGTCTTGTGGAGGAACTTCAATAAATGACATCTAATTTGTCCCATACGGCAATAGATCTATGGACAGCAAAGATACTGGCATCCTTTGTCGCTAAAAATAGTTTGTCGTTTACCAAAATGTGTTACCTCCCTTCGCGGATAACTAGCAGCGATCCTTCAGCTGATTCTTGCGATCAGCCATTTAGCACAGAGATTTCAAAAGAGAAGATATCGAAACCACCCACTGAGGGTGAGTACCGACAAAATATTCCATCTTTCCCATTTCTAGAGGCTCCCCAGCATTCCTTCGCTTTTTAGAGATTGGTCCTCGTTTTTCCGTTGGGTCGCTTTTCTAAGATTTGTTCTATATTGCCACTTGTAAAAAACCTACATCTTAAGACCGTCCAATTTCGGTAAAATGCCACATGACGAAATCTAACAGTAGAGTCTAAGCTAGGGTGTAGCTGCTTTTGTGAAAAAAAAAACAAATGAATTACAAATAGCTATATATTCATTCCACTGAGGTTCTTCGAATCCTGTTGGTGATGTTTTCGGACGTTGTATGTTCCTGAACGAGAGGGAGGGACTCATTATGGATAGTCTTAGAATCTCCTTCTGTCCACTCCCAGAGGAACTAACCAAAATTGTTAATGTCAAGAATAATTACATATCTCAGGTAAGCCCAGAATTGAACAGAATAATCAAACAGGCTCACCCTCACCTGCATCCGACCAACTGGACGGTTAATATTTATTTATTTATTTATTTATTGAATGCGCTCAAAAGGCGCGCTACAAAGGAAAGCTCGAGCCGCAGGTTCTGCATTACAAGAGAGATTAAGAGGTAAGAGAAACAAAATAAACGAAATGATCAAACAGAAAATTCTTGACAGGAAGGCCTGTAGGACAGGGGGTTCATATACCACTTTTCAACTTATTGGATCAGACTTCGCTACTGAAGCTCAGGAACGAACCTCTGACAGTCTATCACATCACACAAGATCAGCGTACTGACGTGGCTACAGAACACAATATACAGAGGCCGAACGCAGCACAGACCCGCACCAGTCGGCTATGGTGCCCACTCGCCACACCAGAGGTCATAGGGGCTCACCGAAACTCCGAAACACGGGTATACCGACATCCCACGTGGAATCGGTGAGCTAGGAGAGTGCGACGGGTAGGCCACCGAATAAATTTGCTGAGCAACCACAAGTAGGGGATCCGTGTGAATTCATGTCATGATAGATAAGATCAATGGTGGGCCAATGAGGGAAGAGTGTGATGATCATCACCCCAAACACCTGAGAGGATAATACATGACAAAACTAATCGCAAAATTAATAGTACACCAGTCTACTCCACCACCTTCAGCCCCTCAACTGATGTGTCTCTACAAGGGTCATACCTAATGCGGGTCATACCTAATGAGTTGCAGGAGCAGTTCTCCAAAGATTCCCGAATACTACCAATCTTGAATGCGTTTTAAATGTTTATCCGTCGCCATCTACACTCCACCCCGCTGGCATAGGGTTGTATCTTGCGCACCAATGCAGTGAATGAATGCACACCTTCCACAATTACAACTGTTGGGGCCGCCACCTAACACCCCACTCAGTGTTAGGTGCAGACCTACAACCTCCAGCAGGTAGGACGTGGTTCAAGTCGGACCATATCCGTTGGGATTTTCGCAATTTAGTGCAGGCTAATATGGCAGGCACAAAGCAGTGGTTGAACAGCAGCGGGGTTCCTCTTCACGGGATATGAAAGTTCCCAAAAGGAGCACACTTCGTACACACATCAACCCGAAAGTCCCATCTACGGAACCACTGAAAACACCTAGTTTTCGAAAAGTAACTGGACCATAGATACTGTTATGAGTACCGTGTAGTTGTTGACGCTAAACCAACAAAAGAACAACATCCATCAGGAATCCTTTCCTAATCCATGAAAAACGGCAATACACAGAGCTTATGAAAGAATCGAAAGAAATGACGTCCTAATGCTACTTTTAGTAAATGATACCCCAACTTCGCATAGCTCATACGTCCTATATGTAGATGAGAAGTATGAGATCATATGAGCTCAGCGACTTTAGGGCTTTCCCGTAACTCGATTGGATACTTCAATTTCGATGGTGGAAATGGTCATTTACTCCGACCCAGTAACCACCAAAGTGACTGAGAATCAGGTAGTTATTCAAGACTCTTCGTTTACTTGAAGGATTTCCAAGGAAAGAGATAAACTAACGCTGCAAATCAAACTGAAATGCTACGAATTGGTGGACTGCCCTTCCCCGTTGCAAACGCGTCGCGTAACTCAGCGCAAACTTTCCCAATTTCTTAAATCAGATAAGAATCAGAATCAGAATATGAGGTGAGTCCCACCATAACGGTCAACTATAACAGCTGACACAGAATGTGGTGAAGAGTTACCATCAACCGATATCAATCGCTGATTTAATTGACCACCTTGACGGGCACCGTAGGGGGGCAACTGTCTCTATCTGCGTATGCAGAGGTCCTCCACTAGGCAGATCCCGATGATTTGTGGCCATTGGGTGCGGGTGCGTAGTGAACAGAGGGCCGAATCACTACGATTCGGCAAAGTGATTCGCTCCGATATCGCGGACAGGCCACATTGTGCACTAGTAGTCTGCCCTGCATCGTAATTTGGCAAACATTCGACTCCAGCTTACTTGAAGCTGCATTTTGAGGCATAAAAACCCAATTAGTTGCATTTTCTTGGCAGGATCAAGCAACAAAATAAAATTAGCATGAAAATCGAAAGCATCTCAAAATTACGCTTTTGGGATTACAACCATGTCAGAGTATGGGATCGACATCAAACAGCGAAAAAGAAGGCAAAGGCCGGCAGTTGGCGGTTGACAGTAAACAAAATACACAGTGTTTCAAGGTGGCTTTCAATCGGGAACGGCCACGGCAGAAAATCAAAAGACAGACAAACTCACGATGAGACCGAAAAAGTCGATCACAGACGACTCCTTGACCCGTACGATTGCATATTTGTATTTGACGTCCATCCCTGGATGGACCGACTACGGGAAGTGATGAATCTGTAACAGCTACGAGGCAGAATGACAGAGGCCAAATGTTAGGGATTACGACGAAAGCGTAGAGACGCATTTTAACAACACCCATGGTAACGGCGATGCACCCTCTCACTTCTCTGAGATGACGATTTGCTGTCTCTCGCAGAGCAGGGCAGCTAACGCCACTAATTGCAGCTTCGTTACGGCCAAGACTAAAGGGTCGCCATTGAGGGGGCGTCAGTTGGAAGCCGCTAGTAAGTTGTATCGCGCCACAGAGCACTGAAGTAGGGGATCTTCGGAGAAACGCAAGAGTGATCGCACCACTCAGCGAAATGAGGTTCAGAAAGAATCCAGAGCGAGCGAAGAGGTTCGAGCGAGAGAAGTTCGGGGGTGAAATGGAGGCGTACTGACAACGGAAATGAGCGGAACAAGCGAGATAGGTCACGAAACTAAGTACAACAACATAAACAATAAACAAATAGAGTAGTGCGAGAGCCGGTGCAATAGATCGATGAATCTAGTGTGTTTTGCCGGCCGACTCTCTCTCTCTCCTCTCCGGCCGAATGCTCGGTGGTCTCTCTCCTCACTCTCTCTCCACACCAACGTCGCTCTCTCGCACTCGCTCGGCCGTAATGTAAACCCCTAACTGCGCTAAGCAAGACTAGGCCCAATCGATTGCCAGGCCCTCCCCGCCTGGCACTAAGCCATCGGACTGGTGGCCCTTCCACGTCGACCCTCAGCCATTCATTGCATCCCTCGTCCCTCCTTACTTACCCCTTAAGCCGCGCACTAATCCCACCTAGCGCAACCTGCATCCCCTCTGACCAGCACAGCCATCGATCTCCGGCCATTTTAACGCTAATCGCCTTTAGAAGAGGCAAAGCTGTAGGCCACCGTGCGACTTTGATTATAACGATTGCAATCCATGTTCTACGCTTCTAACGGGGCGCGAATGCTAGGAGAAACGCTGAGAGAGACTGCGAGCGACAAGGTTAATAGGCAAATAGATATAGGGAAATGAACGGACGATAGATTGAGTCCAGTCTGCCCTCTAGTTGACTAGGGCCGTTGGTAGACGATACACTGATCACTTGTAGTGATCCCGTGATGACGAAAACAGAGAGAGTTGATAAGCATTATCGTGGTAATTTTCTTGGAGGTGAGGCTCATTTGCTAGCAGTTCCATCGTCTTGTGTTGTTGTGCGAAGTAGTAAAAGATGTTCGGAGGTTTGTAATACTTAGGTGCATCGCTATGTAGCAAGGTTACAAATTTGAAATCCAGGATCAAAAAGAAGGAGGAAATTCTCATCAAGTTTTTCTGATCCAAACAAATCTCGAAGGTCCTTCCGGACCGAGGTCTCGCAACGGTCAGAGCTCTCTCAACGGTCGCTACTAGAGGATGAAACTATTACGGAGAAGAAAGAAGGTTCTAAGGGGTGAGCCACAGTATGCTATCCTCCTACATTATCAACCTTCTTCATGAGATTTTTTTT